CCCCAAAACCCCAAAACCCCAAAACCCCAAAACCCCGCATTAATAAATAATTATTGTAAATCGAGATCTAATTAATGGAAGATAAACGCCTTGAAAAACGCAAAGAATTTCTTAACCCAGTCAAGGACGGCAGAAGCAAAAGAGAAAAGTACATGGTCGACCTCAGGAAGAAAAGGAAGCAGCAGATTTTCAGAGCTAAGAGGAAGATAGAACTTTCTGAGGAGCATAAATAAAGAATCACTAAGACTTAGTATCACTGAAGAGGGTACAATCACCCAGACTAAGAAAAGTTCAGGCATGATGAAAGAATACGCAGAAGTTTTGTATAATATCTGCCCTGCTCTATTTGAAGATGACAAGAAGCTTACAGATAAACTGGGCGTTGTAAAGGCAGCACTTGAGTGCAATGAGTTCGATGGGCAGACCTACATTGCTCTTTGATGCTATATTAGAGTCATTACAATGACAGAGAATGTCATGTTTACAGAAGCTATCATTGGAGCTGGTCTCTTCCCAGTTATAATGAAAATGGCTGAGGCTGACTCTGTAGAAAGCCTCATGTTGGAACTCACCTGGATTATAGCAAATCTGACTGCAATTGAAAACAAGGAGCTTCTAGATTATATTCTAACTGAAGATTATGGGCTAATCAAGCACTTAAGCAATATGATAAACCATAAAAATATTAAGATAGTGGAGCATGCTTTCTGGGCAATGGCAAATCTTATGGTAGGAGATGATGCTCCCTTCCAGGATATTTTTACTACAAATATTTTTGATGTAGTTGGTGATTATCTAAACAATTCAAAACTCCCTCTTTCCTTGTTAAGAGTCATATCATGGATGGTGGGAAGCATGGCTAAGTGAAAGACAAGATCATTAACTTTTATTGCTACTCTAATCGAGTTTTGTAGCACAGCTATGTTCAGTACTGATGAAGAAGCTCAACAAGAGTCTTTACATTGTCTCAAGCACCTTATTGATATTGAAGAGCAAGATAAAAAGCTGGAGCTTGACAAAATTGAATGTATCTCAGAGATGAATATGATGACTAAAGTATTCGAATTCTTCAACCCAGAAGATAAAATGTTCACCACTGTTCTGGTCATCATTGGTAATCTAAGTGCGTCTGACAGTGAGAAAATTCAGAACCAAATTTTTAAAGAAAAAATTTATAATAGAGCAGCTGAACTGATCTCTCAGTATAATTTACCACCTTCAAATATAAAGGAATTGTTCTGGATATGCGCAAATATGGCTAGCTGTGGAGATAAATTTGCTGAAGGGTTTTATGCCTCACCCATGTTCCAAGTCACAATAGATTACATTGAAGACAAACCTATGAGCGATACAAAAAGAGAAGCTTGCTGGTGCATCTGTAACTTTATTGCTAAAGTAGGCACTGATATAAGGATAGAAGTCATTAAAAATCATGGTTTCATTTCTTTCATGTTTAATTTGTTAAAAGAAGCAAAATCATTTGGAAAACTTCCTGAGACAATTCTACTCTCAATATCAAATCTTTTATCGACCCATACATTTTTCTTAGAGAATGATGATAAACATCCCTTGTTTGAGTTCCAATCAATTGGAGGAATTGAGCATTTAGAAGACCTTCAGACGCTCCCAAATGTTAACATATTTTCTTTATCAAATAAAATCCTAAAGACATTCTATCCAAATGGAGAAGAAGAAGAGATGTACAACAAAGAAGACATTGAGCCAGAAGTAGAAGAAGATGAAGAAATTAATGACAATCAAGACATTTGTTTTTAAAAATCACTAATTCAATCTATAACATTCTGACTGGGGTTTTGGGGTTTTGGGGTTTTGGGGTTTTGGGG